TGGCCTGGCCAGTACCGATCCCTACGATCACCCGCTCATCGAGCCAAATTACTACGCCGTGGAGGAGGACCTCGAAGCGACGGCAGAGGCCCTGGAAATGACCTACAAAATGATAGCCCATTCTCCGGCTTTCAAAAGGTTCGGCGTAGTCCCGAGCGACATCGTCATCCCCGGCTGTGAACACTACCTTCCGTTGTACAGCCGCCCGTACATGCGGTGTCTGGCGCAGATGCTGACCGCCTCGCTGAACCACTCGGCGGGCACCTGCAAAATGGGCCCAATTGGTGACCGTCGAACGGTAGTTGACCCGCAGTTGAGGGTGAAAGGCGTGAGGAGGTTGCGGGTGGTCGATGGGTCGATTATGCCAGCCATCACTAGTGGGAATACCAATGCGCCGGTGAATATGATCGCAGAGAAGGCGGCTGATCTGATCAAGGCTGGAGATCAAGTAGTTAGGAGCTCAAGAAGGTTGAATCAGGGTCAGTACTTGTACATGATTGCAAGTGGAATGTACTAGAAAATTAGTTAGTTAGCTTTTTTCAAATTTTTTTTTCAATTTTATAACACTGCCTCAACTTTTTGTTGTTTGATATTTATCTGAATGTTCACACTTTTGATATTTTGCTGAAGTTGTAGCATACCGTTTAATTGTAAATTAGGTGTGAACTAGTTGAGAAGAAGTTTAATAAAAATAAGAACACGTGCCACTAGGTTGGAAACAGTTGGCAGAGTGAGTATAAGTCACACTGCTTACAATGGTATAAGTAGCAATAAAGTGACAAATTTTAGAACTTTCAGCAGGGAGGAATCCATTGTTCACATTAGGTAATTGTTTTTATTCATTAAAATTTTTGTGGGATTTTTAACAAAAGAAAAAAATTGTTATGCATTTGTTTGCGTTAATAGGACAATGTACGAACAAATAAAAGTAAAACAATTTAGAAGAAAGCTAAAATCAAAAGTCACAGCGCTGAAAAGCTTCAGGTTGAAGTAGTTCTGGTACAGGGCGACACATTCGTACCTTCTAATAGCCAAATTGCAGTCTTTTCCATCACTCAAAAAAGCTCTCTCTTTTAAACTGCGTTCAATCTTAATTAGCTCCCCCTTTACTAGCTCGCTTGCCCAGGCCACCAGGCAGAAGCTGCCCACAATGACCACCAGAAAGAGGTAATTATCAACTGGTATCCGGTGTACAACAGCACTCACCACAATCACCACGTCCAGCGTGCAGACGTAAAGAAAGTAGGCAAAAGGAAATGTCAGCAGAGCGTTAAATTGTCTATTGAGCAGCGCCAGCCGGCGAAACTCCTTCTGAAAATGACTAAAATTGTGCACCACTTTTTGCAGTCTCAGCAGCGC